CGGAGACAAATCCAACAAATCAAAAACCATGAAAATTGGTCCAGCAGATCTCGAGATATAAGTGCTGGAAAGCTTTTCACCACTCTCTTTATAATGCCATGTATGAGAAGAAATTAATTAAGTAACCTTTTCATACTAAACAATAAAAACAACGCAAAGTAAATAAATTTACGGATTCGATTTAAAGTTTTAAAGGCTTGACTTGAATATGATTTCTATAAAATCTCAACAATATGGGAACGATTCAAGAACTAAAATCGAATAGTAATGCTATGACTATAAATAACAGAAACAAATTAAGACTCTGGACACAATCGTAGAATCCAAACTAGAGACATTATATTGACCTGGTTCTCTATAAAGTACATCATCTATGTGTTTCAATTAATATTAAATGTAAGTGGATTTCCTACACATGTTTCGAAAGAAGAAGCAAGAGAGAATGCACAGTATAAAGAAATTCAGAAGACCCGTTTTAGGTGACATTGCGTCTCAGTTCTTAATACCATTGTAAGTCTGTAAAGTAAAAGTATAAATTTAGTAACTACGACTTATTCAAACTGGCTCGAATTTTTTCGATTTTTCGAGCGTTTTCGTCCTCACCTATACGCACTTTCCTAAATTCATTTGGGAAGAATTTATAGCCAAATATTAGTGATTTGGTTTCTTCTTTTTTCTAGCAAGTAATTCAAAAACTTCTTTAAGAATAATTTACTTAGAAGAACTACTCAATTGCTAGAATTCCGAGAGTTCAGCTATTTTAATTTTCTTAACTGCTCGCGTGTAAATTTGACTATCCACAGCCGAATCTCAAATTTGAATCAAGTTTTTAAAATTAAAAAGCCAATGTTCGATAATCGATTTAAAGTCTCGCATTAAGTTGAAAACAATAGTGTACTCCCATGTTGCATACGCATCACCTCATTTCCATATCATAAATAGTAATAACTTGATTTTATAAGAGTCGTTGGAACACTGTTAAAAAAGATTTCAAATGATATCTCAACCCCTTCTTCAAAAATATCTACGAATTTAAACTCAAAATTTGTGCTTTCACAATGGCATATATATTTCAATATGGATAGAGGCTCGCATAGGAAAGTCTATCTAAAATAAGTAGCAAATGCAGTCGGTCGTGATCGGCGCAACAATCCAATTTTGAAGCTTTCAGCTGAAAAAGAATTAGAATTAGCAGTTTGCGACATAATTATTTTGAAAATGAAAAATCATTCACAATTTTCTATACTGGCATCTGACTTTACCTTAAATCGATAAAAACATCAAGAATATGTATTCTTTTTGGGATCTGCCACGCCTCCTTCTGCCTGTTGCATACATTTTAACACAACCATTATACTCTGATTTCCAATTGAAAATGGGTTCAGGGTATGAAAAGGTTTCGTCAAATTTGTTGTGCTACGCAAAAATTCGATGATTGAATGCATTCTTATCAACAGAAAGAGAACGGAAAAAGGCAAACCGCATAAAATTTGGCATGCACAGACGCAGTACTTTGCTTACAATTTTCGCTCAGTTTGTAACGGCATTGCCAGTTTTAATAGTCACAGCACGATTTTGTCAAAATACTTATGCCGACTAGTGTATGTATTATATCTTTTTAATTAATACCAAACTTAAACTCTCTAGTATCAATATTGCTAAAAATATGGCAGATCTGATCCGATTTGCCACGTCCCAAGTGGACATATTTTTCGGTTGATCTTTCACAGCTTCAGGTTAGGGTAATTAGTAAAGGTTACTTTAATTAGTTAACGCTGCTGAAGATATCTGATCAAAGCCGCATGATTGACAATAATAATATTTTTTTTTTTTTCGTTTTGTTAAACAATCGTTATTGGTTTCTATTTATTAATTTCTAAATTTTTATTTAATTGTGTTTTACATTTATATATTACAATATTTAAATAACTTCGTGTTGAAGGATCTAGGAGAAACATTCATTAAATATTTCACCAGCACTGAAAAGCTGCGAAAAGTGTCCCTATTCTTTCTCATATAGAAAGTATTGCATTGATTTTCTCAATACCGTACTGACGCAAGGCAGAATTTAGACGTTTCAATTAATTAAGGATCGGTCGATCGAATATACTTGTAATGGGTTGCTATGAGATTGTTTTATAGAGATCAGCCCGAAGTTAGCTTTATTTATATATTATTTCAAACTTCTAATTGATTTATAAATATTATATAGATACATATCTATACATATGTATACATGCATATTAAGGTTTTGTTTTGAAACTATTGTTAGTAGTCAGATATATTTTATGTAGCAAATATAATTGACAAAACCACTTATATCTCTTATCTTTTGTTCGTAATTTACTCTCATCCTGTCTCTGCCTATCCTTGTATCTCTCTCCATCTCTTTGTGGGTCCCTATCTCACTCACTCTGTCAAAAAAATATGTCTCTGTTTCTTTATCTCTCTCTCCATATATATGTATATATATATAACTTTAACTCACTCTTGTTCCGCTTATACTCTCTTCTATCAAATCCTTTATGGACTTATACATATATATATATATATATATATATATATATATATATATACATCCTCCGAATCCTTCAATATATATATATATATATATCATATATATATTATATATATATATATATATGTATGTATGTATATGTATCTGAAGAATTATAAATGTAATGAAAACTGCCAACAAAGAGTGCTCTAGTCTTGAACCCTCTAGATACCCCATCAAGCCACGCTTCTTCTATACACTCATAACAATCAGCACATGCACGCACGCGTCATACTAATCGCACACTTTACAGTTGTCGGGTTGCAGTATGGGATCTTAATTGTTAAATATGTTTAGTATCCTAATAAAATCTTCCGAAAGCAAGTCCTATTATTTTACATTCGGTTGTTTTTTTTTTTTTTATTTAATTAATTTTAAGGAAACGGAGGAGAAGGTAAAATCGGGAATATACCAGGTCGGTGTATTAATAGTAAATGGGATGTTTCTATATTTTCTGGTATTCAAACTATACTGAAAAAAAAAAAAACAAAGAAAAATGGTCGATTCTAATCACTAGCACGGAATGTTGTATGAGTCATCGAAGAACAAATGGTAAATTTGCGCCTTACACCCAGAGTGCCATTTTCCATAGGTTCAGGGTATATATGTAAATGATATATCAGATATATCTTTTTTTCTCCTAAATTTCAGTTTAATTTGATAGTATGGTATATCTAAATGTATTTGTACTGGAATTCATTAGTTGATTTATAGAATATAAAACTGATTAGTACTATAAGTAGTAGGGTGGGTCAAATATTTATTTCAGTCACATTTCATTCATTTGGTTCCTTTTCTTGTTTCCTCTCTATAGCGCTTTCTACTTGAGAAATTATTGACTAACTTTTTAGACTCTGATTTGGTTATTGATACACGATTTTTTTTATTTGCGTTTCTAATGTTTCATTTATATTTATATATACATATTTTCATCGTAGCCCTTGCTATTAATTACAATTCATTTTGGATTTTTCTTCCCCAAAAACATTTTTAATTTTTATGTATATCTGTATTATATTTCAAAACTATCAACTTTTCTATGACCTTTGCATGAGAATCGCAGGAAGAGATTGTCTCTAGCTATTTCTCTTAAACGATTATATAATATAGTATACCACATTTTACGATACCCCAAAATTCTATCATACACATGAGAATACACGTTATAATTCATTCTCTTGTATCTACATTTTCATATGGCGATTTCCATTTCTGTATTCCGAAGAACCATATGTCACATATAATACATATTC